GGCAGGGAACTCCAGAAATGCATTTGCAAATTTGAAAATCAAAATACTATTTACATGTTAATGGGGTTGCAATTACAGAAATATTTTTCAATCTGATTAAAACTAAGTTGAGAATTCTAATTGCATAAAACAACAGTGCAAAATAATATTAGCTTCTAAGGAGTTTTTTAAAAAATTGCATAATCCTAATAACTATTAACTATAATAAGAAGGGGGAACTGGAGGTCTTCAAATAAACAAATAACTTTCAAACGAAACTACTAACTTGGCTCAGGGAAACTTGAACATTACAAACCAATTCCCAGGCGAAAAGCAACAATCAAATTCATATGATTCTGCCAACAGAAGCAAAACGAAAACAACGAGTCCAAGTCCCTGAAAAGTAAACTCGTGACAAACAAGAAGAAAGCGAAAAGGGCGCCAAGGAAAATGGGGCGGAGGATGGGGACAAAGGGAGGCCACCAGGCAGATGTTACCCTCTTAGCGAAATGTAAGGACACCGATGTCCTCGGGCACCAAACTGTGTATGCGACTGTGCACAGATAAAAACTACAGGATCATAGTTCACAAGTCAAATTATACTGGAGAATGTTTAGGAATCTGAGTTTGGATTGGATTTCCATTGGAAAAATATCGACATATCAATATCTTTTTACTGAAATTTATGCAATATATTGATTTTCAGTTTTAATACCTACATCGACAAACAATCACATTCACAAATTCCGAATTATATACATTTTTGTGAAATATGTAGAAATCGAAGTAGAAATTTATTCCATTATTAATAACGACATTTTATCGAAGTTATATCCGGAATTTTTGTTCATATTTTAATATATATAATACTCAAAATCGAAGTTTTACAAAATAAAGAAATAATGATAACTAAGTCCCGTTTTCGAAACTTCTTAATTTTGCTGAACTTGGATTTTAAGTTATATATTAGATTATGTCTGCTGACCCTTTGACTCGAGGGAGTCCCGAATTTGAAAGGTTTATTTGCGCAGTGTATGGTGTGGGTATAGAATGTAAGGGTAGAAAAGACCAAATTGTAGGCAAAGACGTGAGTTGTCTAAGCGTCTGTCTGGCACAATCAAAACAAGAAGCCGTCAACCGGGCCAACGCAATTCTAATTAACTGCCAGATACACAAGGACACTCGCACATCCAAGTGGGAATGGATGGTGGATTGGGTGGCCTTTCGCTCGAGTCTGCGTTTTTAATCCACAAATTAAATCGAAACCTCGAAGATCCAGAAAACAAAGGGCCCAACTAGCGAACGGTGTGCGAAGGGTATCCTAAGTACTTCGGTTAACTAATGCGCAGTGAAAGGCATTAAGGAGCAAGCTTTCTTTAAGTGTCCGTTTTACTTTCACCCGCGCGAATGGCAGTGTGTGTACCTTTGCATCTATGTGTCTCGCTCGTGTACTGTACATTAATTGTAATCGCAATAGCATGTTGTAATTGCGAATGACATAAGTAAGAGCTACAGAGCGATGATAATGATAATGATAATGATAACAACGATAACAACAGAAACAACGAAAGCAACAACACAGCAATGGCAGTGCCAACAACTTAATGACAACAGAATTGAATTTGAGTTCACTGGTCCAAAAGCTTCTCACCTGCTATTTGTGATGTCCTTAGATCACATGCTCTGTTCGGCTCTGAGCCTTCATGTTGAATATATTTGGCTTCAGGTCCTCAGATATCAAAGTCATCTTTTAGCCTACATCGGTTTAACTTCGGCACAAGATCGCGGACTAAGTGTCTTTAAACGGCAGATTTTACAATGTTCGATTTCGATTTTTTCGATTAATGATCGTCTTAATTTGATTGGCTTTTATAGTTTGTATTTGTATTGAGTTTAGATTTAAATTCGATTTGGGTTGTGTTCGTTTTGGGATCTCTTTTACGGGTGTCTTCAAGTAGGCATTTTAATAATGCCAGTTGATTGTAGTATGGATATCTTCGATTAGTTATCGATTAAAGTAAATTCGATAGTTCTCATCGATTAATTCGATATTCAGGTTTTAAGTTTAGGCTTTCATATAGCTTTGGATTAATGGTGAAGTACCTTAATCTATGTCTTCAATAAACGATCGTCTCAATTTTGTTGTTATTATCTTGACTTTTACTCCGACAATTCAGAATTGCGCTTGTTTTTCTTTCTTAATCGAAGCAGTTCAATCAAATATCGGGTTATCAGTTTGATCTGAAATCGTTCGCTGTAGTATCGGTCAAGTATTGGATGCATTTCTAAGCTCTTTTTAGATTTCACATTTATTTCAATAATATTGTAAGATAAATGTAAATTAATAATTACATTTATATAGTAATTATCTTAAGTACTGCTTTTTGGTTTTTCTTTCAGCGTATTTTCAATAGCTTTCCTCAAATGTTTTTTTTTTAGATTAATTGGTTATATGTGATCGTGTACAAGTAAATTGGATTTGGTGTGCCTTTTCAATACTCTTGATCATTCGATTTGTCAAAAATTTTGATCTTAATTTTTAGACAGTGATCGTGTTTAATTTGATTGTATTTTTTTAGGGATCTTCTTGGATCGATTTTTACTTAAAACAATTATATATTTATAGTTTTCCTTGAATAAGTTTTAATAAAGTTTGAATAAAGATTTTGCAGACTTAACTTAGAATATATTGTTTTGAGATTAAATATGATATTCACACCAATAATTTGATTAATTCTGTGATAAGATATAATATATACTTGCTAATAGATTAAAATGTCAATTCAGAGGATGGTAGGATCAAATTCTGATCTTAAATTTGATAGCCAAAGACTTTGGTTAATTTCGACGTCGATATCCAAAATTTTGATTCAATTTTTATGATTTGCACTTAGTATTTTCGTGAGTACATATGTTTTAACTGATATGTGAACTGCAGCCACAGGAAAAAACATGAAAAAAAGATATTAACAATTTCAATTTGATTGAAGCACACACTTAAAAAAACATTTCGGTCTAGGCACTGAAAACGTTTCCTTGACACTTAAAACACAGCCAAAAAAAGTAAAACTCTTCAAAAACCCCAGCAGTCACACTTTTTTATCACCGATTTTGTAATTCAAATTTATAATTTTAAAACTTTGTACTGATTTTTTGGCGCCTAACTGATTAGTTTGGCGCCCAACAGATTGGGTGGTGGGGCTGCTGTGGCTTGTGATTGTCCTGTGGGAGTGCCAACGAACCGTTTCCAAACACTTTCGGCCGATGACTGGGAGCCACCGCCGACGAGCGCCTTAATTTAAACCTTTCGCCCTCGGCTTTTGCCCGACGAGCTACAGTCATGAACAAATTAATAAGGACACTGTGAAACATCCCTGAAAAAAACCAGAAAATTACTATTCTGAAAAAAGTTGATAGTATCTTCATTTTTTTAAACTTATTAATGCTTTCACTTTCTAAATCGAAAGTGAAATATCCAATTGCAATGATAAAAATAAAGAGAGAATCAGAAAACAAAAAATAAATAAAAGTTAAATTGTTTTACCTTCTTATTATTATTATTGTATTAAAATCTGTTAAGAAAATGTATGGTTTTGGTGGCCTTTTTTTAAATTGTATTCCTGCACGGAGATACGGTTTAAATACAGACGTCCCTATAATTTTTCACATAACTGTATAAATCGAAAAATCCCGAGTCCAGACGACTCGGAAAAGCTTTGGCAGCTCCCACTCAAAAGCGTTTTTTTTGCGGCTTACTGACCTGGTTCGCGGCCAGGAAAAGCGATAGCTTCCATGAATCCGTGTGTGGGCGAAAAAGCGGTGGAAAAGCCACTTGTTGACGCCAGCCGAAAGCTTTCCATTTGCCAACCGAAGCCCGAAGTTGTTCGCTTTATTCGCTTTTAACACAAACAAATACAAAAATTAATTTGAATGCAGATTTTTAGGTTTTTACAGCACACGCATTTTAAGACATACCATTGTATAATCGGGCTTCAGTTAGGAAAGTAATGGTCTTAGAAGTGCAGGTTTTGGGTCATTTTCCTGTAAACCGGTCCAGAAAATGTAAAAAAAAATCGATCCAAAATTACAAACCAAAGTTTAAATGCAGATTTTTAGGTTATTAGCACACGATCCTTTTAAGACATACCATTTTAAAATCGGACTTCAGTTAAAAAAGTTATGGACTTAGAAGTGCAGGTTTTGGGTTACTTTTTGGCAAAGCCGTTTTTCGGAAATCTGGAAAGGGTAACCATCATGAAAATGTGAAGAAAATCGATCCAAAATTGCAAACCAAAGTTTGAATGCAGATTTTTAGGTAATTAGCACACGATCCTTTTAAGATATACCATTTTAAAATCGGACTTCAGTTAGAAAAGTTATGGACTTAGAAGTGCAGGTTTTGGGTCACTTTTTGGCAAAGCCGTTTTTCGGCAATTTGGAAAGGGTTAACCATCATCAAAATGTGATGAAAATCGATCCAAAATTACAAACCAAAGTTTGAATGCAGATTTGTAGGTAATTAGCACACGATCCATTTAAGATATACCATTTTGAAATCGGACTTCGGGTAGAAAAGTTATGGACTTAGAAGTGTAGGTTTTGGGTCATTTTTTGGCAAAGCCGTTTTTCGGAAATTTGGAAAGGGTAACCATCATCAAAATGTGAAGAAAATCGATCCAAAATTACAAACCAAAGCTTGAATGCAGATTTTCAGGTAATACGCACACGATCCATTTAAGATATACCATTTTGAAATCGGACTTCGGGTAGAAAAGTTATGGACTTAGAAGTGTAGGTTTTGGGTCACTTTTTGGCAAAGCCGTAAATTGGGAAAGGGGTTATTCGATTAATTGACGTTAGAATATTGCCGAATACATACCGTACGGCGTTTCTCTTGAGACAAGTCCTAAAACCTAAAAACCCAAATCCTTTTCCAATTAAGCGGGACAAGTTCTGTTTGTGATGTGAATTAAGCTCTTCATTAACTGGGAGTGTGTCTGCTTATGTATGCAAATATGTACCTTTGAAGGCGCGTGGAACTGCCGCAGTTTCAATCCTACTGCTCCTACCCTCCCTTTTCCTTATCCACTTTCACACATCCTGAGGGGAATCCACTCTTTTTACTTTCAGGAGTTGAATGAATGTTTTTTGTGAATGAGAAGTATACACCGCCATCACCGGCGCTTTTACACTGAAACAAATATTAAGTGAAAAAAAGATAAACATGAAATGTAAGACGATTATTAAGAGCCACCACCTTAAAGTCATTTAAAATTATCGGACATAAGAAGGAATAACTATTCGAGCTTTTGAATTAATCATGATATTTTAATTATAAAACACTGTATATTTTTTAAAACAAACTTGTTAGCATTAATGATTTATAGCTCTTACTATTTACTTGAATGACATTTAATATAATTAAGTGGATCACCTATCCCTTATAAAATGTATAAGACTTTAAGTACGTCTTTCAGATTTATTTTGGATCTAGGCACTATATATGACTTACCGGTCGATAATTTTTCTCGGTGCAGCTTAGACTAGGTTTGCAGGTTGTATGCAACATGTCAATTAGCGCAATCCCTGCACCGTGGCCGCGTTTGAGGATGCCCAGTTCAGTGGCCGCCAGTCCAAAGTTGGTACTTTTTTTTTGCAAAAGTGTGTTATAAATTTGCCAGACAATGGCTTCCGCCAACAGTGGCTAACAGTGTGTCAAATAAGTATATATCCATTGCTTTATTCTCTTGCTTTATACATACATTTGGTTTGCCGCTGCTTGAGTTTGAGTGAGTGTGTTTGGGTGAGTTGTTAAGTAATTTGTGCAAAATTTGATTAAAGCTAAGTTAACCCTATATATTTATTTATATGTGTAGTGTTTGTATATTTATAGTTTAATGTGTGCATACAGTGCGTTTCAGAACCATAAGAATGTTGAGCGGTTAAGTTAAGGCCATGTTTCCCTTAACAAAGTTGCCTAACAAAAATACAAAGAATATTCGGGAGCTATCATCTTATAAATTAAATCGAATTGAGGTACCTAAGTCTCGAGTAAGGTCAATGAACTAGGGCAGATTTGAATTTTTTTTAAATACATATTAGTAAAACTTTTAAGTTCTTATTAAATTTGAATGTATAAATTAAATTATGTAAGGATTAGGATCCGTTAGCAAATGCGCTATAGCAAATGGCAATATTGATTAAATTAAGTTTTAGTTCTCGTTTCGAGACTTAGTTACAAATATCTTCTTATAGCTATGATACGCACTATACAAGCTAGGGCGGTTCGATTTTATTAGATGCAGATAGAGTATTTGGTAATGAAAAGTAAACAATTAATAAACAAAATTAACTAACAGTAACAAATGTAACAATTGTCTTGTCTAGATATATTGCTCTATGGACGTGTTAAGAAAAACAATTATATTAGGGTGTATAATTTAAAAAGAACTGCAAGATGTTTGCATCAACATGTGGTTTTCTTTGCGAAAAATGAATGCAAATATTAGAACTATGGTCTTAATGTTATAATATCTTTTAGAAAGAATGGAGATATTGCAAAAGGATTTAAAAACTTTGGGCTTGCATAAAAACCGATCCACCCTGAGTTGCACACTTGTGTTCGCACTTATTTATTCAAGCCGAATGGGCTGCTATCTATCGAATACTTTGGGGTCACTACCTGGGCGGCAATTGGATTGCGGATCGCTCAGGACCGGATCAGAACATGCCGTCCGAGCGGGCAACGGGTATGAGTACGATGAGAAATATGACGAAGTTGCGCATGACCAGACGCCAGTCGCTGGGCACGGCATACGGCAGCAGGATTTGGGTGAGGCGGTGCACCTCGTGCGAGGCGCACACAAAGATGAACGACGTGATGATCATGTTGAGCGTGGGAAAGCCGGGCAGCAGGACCAAAACACCGTGTCGATCGGCAGCCAGCCAAATGTGATACTGGCAGACGAATAGCTCCAGCGAGATGCGGCCAAACCATGCGAAGAACGCCGAGTACCGAGTGCGCAGGATGCCCGAGATGTTCCTGAGGACCACATAGCCGACGATCGGGATGAACAGGATGTACGAGTGGATCTCCTCGCAGTTCTGCACGTTGCGGCAGAGGAACGAGAACGAGGTGTACACACCAACGCCCAGCAGTGCCAGCAGGGTCACCGATATGGAGGTTCTCCTCGAAAACAGATTCCCATGGTTGTTGTCATCGAACACATTGTACTTTTGCGCGATGTGGAAACAGGCGGCATATATCATGCCAAAGGCCACAGTATACCGGTCCAGTTTCCACTGATGCCACCACTCGTGCAGGTCATCGTCCGTCGTCACGAACAGTGCTTTCCACGGACGCGTCACGAAGATCCGCTCGAAAAACACCTCCGACATGAAGAGCACCGTGATGCCGCCCAGACAGCCAATGCACTTGCACACCAAATACAGATAGTGCAGCGGGTTGGCGTCCACCGAGGCGGAGGAAATGCGTGGCGGCAACGCCAGCACAAAGTAGACAACGCACAGCCAGAATGAGAGTAGTGGCACAAAGTAGTAGAACTGATACGGCCGGTTCATGCAGAAGCACAGCAGCACACTGAGGAAGTTCGCGCGGAACATGGCCTGGAAGAACCGCACAAACAGGGATCCATTGCCGCCCGTCTGCCACAGGTGCGTGAAGTGCGTGTAGCCGGTGAGAAAGAAATAGCCGGAGATCAGCAGCTTGATGTGCATGTGAATGGGCAGCACTCGCTGTGCTCCGGTCATATAGTATATTAGCACCACCAGCAGTATCCAGCCACGCAGCTCGTCCGTTTGATCTCGATTCAGCACTTTGGTGAACCGCGAGTCCTCCGTGAAGAACAGACCCAACGCGAAGACGTAGCCCACGGGTATCCAGAAGCTGAACTCCGAGTAGTATTTGTTTTCCTTCATAAAGAAGTTGGTGCGATCGCAGAGGTAGAAATAGGCCAGAATAAGGCCAAGCAGTGATAGCGCCACCATAGGTGTGCCATAGTCGGTTATCAGGGCGGATAAGGCATTACTAGGTGCTCCTCCTCTGGCGCCCTCATGAGATTGCTGCTGGTGCTGCTGCTGCTGCTGCAATGGCACATACAAAGTCTGACCACGCAGGTGGAGCAGCCATCTGCGCAGGCACATGCCGCACACGAGGGTCATGCAGACGCCAAAGAGGGCATATGCCACTATTTGCAGCGTGGTGTGCGGTTCGGAGCTGCTGCAGCAGGTGCCATCATTGTAGTTCATATAGTCATTGCAGTACATGTTCCACAGTAGCTGAACCTCCAGCCGCTGGCCATGGGCGCACAGTTGATGGCCATCCACGGCGTTGTCCAGCAGGCCATTGGCTATGTGCCAGGCGGATTCCCAAACGCTTGCCTCCGTGTAACGGAAAACACCCCTGGCCACATGGTTTAGTCGATCGATGTGTTCGTTCTGCAGTAGCTTCCAATTCGAAGGCAATTTCTCCTCGTCCACGCGATCGGCTAGCTTCCAGAGGACCCGTGACGTTTGCGCCACCAGGCGATGGAAAGGAGCCACCAGCAGGGTGAGATTGGCGGCGTATTGCCGCAGCACATCGTCGGTGGTGTTGCCGGCGAGCAAGCCGGCATAGGTGAGACCCACCACATACACGGAGGACAACTGCTTTTCGGCCTCCAGACGGTACAGATGTTCCACCAGCGTTGGACTCACCTCCTCCGCCCGAATGTACTGGGCCAGCATGTGCAGTTTCTTGTCCTCGAAGCGGGCAGAGCCATCCGCCACCGAGGCGTTGTTATCCTCCTCATCGGGCACCTCATCCGCGGCCAATGGCAGACGCAGTTGCTCCACAAATCGCTCGTAGAGCAGCCGAATACTCTCGTCGCCAATGAAAACAAAATTGTTCTTGTTGTCAAAGAAGGCGAGGTAACGCAGACAGCGCCTAGTATCGCTGTAAATAATACAAATTTCGGTTAGGGTGAGTCATTAATTGGGAACTGGGTTATGGGTTATCTCCGCGGGCACGGTATGTTGATTACTCACGTGAGGGAGTACTTGTGCACCATGCAACCGTACGGCTGCCACTCGTTGTCGCCCTTGAAACGGCCCTTGGACAGCAGCCACTGGCAGGAGTCACTCCCTGCGAGAGTACGGGAAAACGAAATAAATCAATATTGGTAAGGGAGTGAGTATGAACATGTTCCGATTATCTAGTTTGTTTAATTTACCTATCTACTATCTATCACTACTTGCAATCATTTTATGGAGTAATTGGGCTGTTAGTTCCAATTTAAAAACAACCTGGAATATCTTTAAAGAGGGTTTATATGAGTTTAATGTGCGTGTCTATACAAACATAAAGGAACAAGACTTTCATTAAGCTAGTAAGATCTCTACAAAGATGAATTTTATAATTTATACCATTTGAAATGATTATCTATACAAAAGAGATAATTTAGATAGATACTTATATACGTCATTCGTTCAAGTTTTGTTTGTTTATCTCCGCTGACTCATCCATTTTATGACAACTATAAAACATAGTCTATATAAGCCTGCTTTTAAGAAATAAAAGATAACTAAAGCGTTTAAGGTAACTATCTAACCAAAACAGAAGTCTCAGCTTATGTTATGATTTAAAACGTTAAAGAAACTTTTTGGTTTTAATACACAATATCAAATTAAAGTTTTTATAATTAGTATAGGATAATTTTGGTCAACTTATATTAATACTTAGAACAGGGGGCAATGTATAGTAGGAGTTTAAAGCGATCTATTATCAATCATAAAATACAAGAAATCGAATATGGTATTAATTTAAACTAAGTATGACTCTAATTTATAAGATGTGTTTAATATTTTATTATAACCCCGGTGCTCATGAGATTACAAACACCAAAATACTTATGATTCACCCGAAAATCTTAACGAACCAAATGGAAACTAAGTATTCCTCTGATTGATCTGGGATATAGTAGCAGAATCGGATAAATATGATCTCGAGTGTATATAGTGGACACTTTTGATATTAGACCCACCGTAGTTCCAGTTGAGCAGGCCGTGGTATACGATGAATCCGAGGACCAGGAGTAGGGCCACCTTTTTGGCATTGGTCACATTCAGTTGCTCCATGAATATATCCGCCTTGGTGGGCATTCGTTGTCCACCGGCGGCGCCTCCAATGCAAATTCCACCGAGCTCGGGACTGGGGGCTCCATTTCCAGAAGATCCTGGTGTTCCAGGTGCACCTGCTCCTCCTCCATTTCCTCCATTTCCACCGCGCAATTCGCGTAGCTCCATAATTTATAAGCCTCCTCCTCAACTTCTGCCGATGATTTGGCCTATAATATTACAGGTAATTTGGCCAGTTGCATGAGCATGGTCTTGACCCAGTTTCACTTGTTCCTTGGACAGTGTCTTCTCCTTCTTTGCCTATCTATATCGCTTGTATCTTTAATTTGTAATATTTTTTTAGTGAAGCAAAGGCTCTTGCTTCGCCGGCCGATAGGCAACCGCCGTCTATCGCCCGCCGCCTCCACCGCACGTCTATCGACTATCGGCGAGCAGCTGGTGTCGACGTCTCTGGTTGAATAGCTAAAACCGCGATTTAAATAATTAACCGCGTTCAGCGGATCAACATGATCAGAATATATGCTTCGGAAAAATGAAGAAATAAAATGGTATTGTTGTATTTTTGTACTAGTTTTTATTTGTTGAGCATTGTAAATAGAATTTTTTTCCAAATGCCACAACATGGACTTAAAAAGTAAATAAAGAGATTCCATTATGGTTATGGTTTGGGAAATTAAGAATGTGTGTTATTCTCGAAAACTCATTCTGCTTGTCCTTTTTGAGACCGCTTACAATATTTGATAAGAATGTTCCCGAGTTCTAAGATGCATATTGAATCTTAGTGATCCAAGAAACAATATACATAATTACATGTATGTGTCTTTATAAAGTTATTATGCGCTTCACACTATTCTAAATGTTAGACTGGCGGCGCTGATTTTAGTAAAAAAATATGATAGCTGCATTTTAAAAATGCAGGATTGTACATATTCAATCTTAGTGATCCAAGAAACAATATACATAAGTGTATGTACGTGTCTTGATTAAGTTATTATGCGCTTCACACTATTCTAAATATTAGACTGGTGGCGCTGAATTGAGTACAAAATAAGATAGCTGCATTTTAAAAATGCAGCTCTCCCGAATCCAATTCCACGGGGCTTGGATTGGCCTGCTCCTGGACAGGATTTCTGGCCGGACTGTTGCTTAAAGGAGAATAGAAACCCTGGCGAGCTTCGGTCATGATTTCGTTGCGAATTGAGAGCGGAGTTTTAGTCACTACGGCCATTAAATGATCCCAGTGACGGCGCCTCCTGTTCAGTTTTCCATACATGATATGATGCCGGAAGGCGACCATATAGCGACGGAAAAGGAATTTGAAGGCCTCCAAAGCCGACTGACAGTTGGCCTGCACCACCGCATCGCTTAATTCGCCCATAAGCTTGCTATCGATGCGACTTTTCAGAGAATGGGCAAAAAGCTTGGTGGCCTCCATTCCACTCGCTTGGGTCACCAAACTAATGAACCGACGGTTGAAACTAGAGTTTCCCTCTTCTAGTGTGAGCAGCCAAAAGTCCTTGTGTTTAATCTGGGTCAACAAATCAACGATTTTGTGACGGAATTCTGCGAAAAATCAAATATTAGAGCAGGCAACCTAACGTGTCTTTCTTTGTATCCTCTGAATCGGAGAACTCACCTTCGGTCAGGAGCAGCAGGTAAGGAAGATTCGTTAGCCAATAGCGCACTACCAGGCCCAGAGCATCCACGCGTGCTTGCACAAAGGTGGTCAAGTTCCAGCGCAAAGCATCTATGGTAAACATCAGCTGGGAGATTAGCTTGATATTCTCCTGGCGCCACTCGGGCAAAAGCTCGTGCATGGCCTGATATTGCTTGGCGATCTGGACAATCTCTGGTTCTCCATCTTCTCCTCCCTGTGGTTTTCCATGTTTCCTAAGAATGCTTCTCATCTGCAGGCGACCAAAACGCTGCAGCTGCTGCTCGGCCTCTGTCATTTGAAAAAGCAAACGCAGGATGCGCTGCAGGCTGGTATAGTCCAAGGTCTCACTGAACACGGCTAGACCACCGGCACAACCCTCCAGGAACTCGCTCTGTGACTGCTTAAGCTGCTCCTTGTCATACATGCAGGCATCGTGCTTCAGGCTAACAACATATTTGCGCGATGACGAATGCAAACCGTTGAGGATCTGCCGGTGGCCATACAAAGACAGCAGAAAGCGTGGGGCGTTCGCCTTTATCAGTAGCTCGCCGTTTCGCAAAAGTTCCCTGGCACAGTGGGTCATCTGGTGGACAGCATGGTTAGGACAATGGCGAGCAACGCGCCAGAAGAGCGTTCCAAAGCGCTGGTGTGCCATACCCAAAATGGCGAAATCCAGCCACGTTTTTTCCGGGTTCTCATAGCATAGTGCTAGAAAATCGTCCAGCGGGAATGTCCTATTTATCTCCAAACGATTGAAGAAGCGTACGCGCCGCTCCTGATGATCCGGTGCCTCAAACTTAAAGTCTCCCGTCGTCACACCGAGCTTATCGCGCGTTTGCAGAAAATGGATCTTTTCCTTCGAGCTCAATTGCAGGAACAGGGGACGCAGGACCAGATTCAAAAGGCTGGCATACTCTCCCTCCTCCTCATCCTCCTCGCTGTCGTCCTCGCTAGTGTTCATGGTCTCCTCCTCCTCGTCACGCTGCTCCATCTTAATGGACACGTCTTCCTCGTCTTTCGTCATCTTTTTGGCCTCCACCACGTTTCCTAAATGCGCCAGTATCATCTGAGCATGCAGCGGGGTGAGCAACCTTAAATGTTTCTCCATGGTTTCCACGCACTCATCATTGCCATAGGCTATGGAGCGGCCAAAGAGATTGGCCAGTCCAGCGAGGAGCTGCTCTTTGGTGGCCTTGCCAAGATCACCGTCAAGAAAGGACAACAGTTCACCAATTGTAAGCTCCGTAAGGCGTTGTTCAAAGCTTTTTGCTGCATCCGCGAAAGTCTTCAGCTGCTTGCAGACGTCATGCTGAGAGAGATCCTTATGCTGTTGGGCCAATGGCAGCATCTCGGCCGCCAGGCAGCAGACTAGCTCCTGGTAGCTGTATAGCAAACGCGGCGATGGTATTTCCAGCCAGAACATATACATATACACGCTAACTGGCTGCAAAACGCGTTGCAATCCGTCCAACAAAGCTTGGGCAAAGAGTCGCATATCTTTCTTGGTATCAGCTGCGTAGCTGCCACTGATGTCGACGCTCATTTGGCTGTAGATTGTAAAGTACTTGGGCAGTTGGCGCCCCTTCGAATCGCCGAGGATATCCACAAGAAGCTCCAGCAGCTGTTTCGTGGCACGGGCCAGGTAAATCCCGCGCATTGTCGCAGGCACCTCCCTCTTTAGACGCTCTTCGGAGGTCAAGAGATGATGGTGCAAAATCCCGGACATCTGCAACATCAATTTCTTATTGGCTTCGGGTAGATTATGATAAACCATGGCACGAGCAGCTGCCGTTATAACGCCGAAGATCAATGGCAGGGCATCTAAAGGATCCTTGTGCACGTGGGACAGAGTCTGGTCGAAGGCATCGAAGTACTGGGAGGTCAGCCAGCGCGGTCCGCAGGCGAGGAACTCCTCCAGCGGCTGCTGAAGGCCAGACTTCAGGGCTATGGCAATTGTCAGAAATTGCGGAAAAGCCGGCAATAGGCCGCACAAATGGAAGCAGTGCTCGCTCCACTGGGAGTGTTCCCCTTGCTGCTGGTTGGCCGTATTGACTACCAGGTAGACGAGTAGGCCGCGCAGGTGATTCATGGCCTTCGGGCCAACTGGTCGGGCCACCAGATCCTCCGGCCGCTGGGCATGCGGCTCCTGGACGATCAGCTCGTGCTCCAGCAATATACCCGCCACCCGGTCGCAAACCAGAGCAATATGCTCTTCGTTTCCTGCCGGAGAATACTTTATTTGGGACTAATCCCCAAAATAATACACTTACCGCTCCAATAAAGAATGCTTCCGAGACTCTTGTTGCTTCCGCCGACGTCCTGGAAGGTCCTCCTCATCTGGACAAACAGCTGGCAATTGTCCAGCGGATGCTGCTTCTCGATTATCATGCTTCCCAAACCGGAATTTCACTATCTAGCGTTAAAAATTCCTTATTTCGCCAAAAAATTAAACACCTTTTCTTCTTTCCTTGCAATTTAAATATATCGATAGCTCTGTCAGTTTGTACTTTACTTGCTGATATTGATTATCGATGGCTCGATGAATAGCTTTCGTTTTTTTAAATCGCAGACTTGTAAAAAAATTTAAACTATTTTTTACTTGTTTAATTTCCCGACAATTTTTAAGCTGATATAAGAGCTGACCGACTTGTACACTGAATGAACTCAAACTATTCATTTTTATGCAAAACCAGTGCAATTTAAAGTCACCGCCTGCTTTGGTTTTTTGATTAAAGTATTGTTAAAGCATTAATATTTTTGAAAGAAAAAGTGTGAAAAAACGCCTGTTCACCTAAATATGAAAATAAACAAAAATAAATAAAACCTATCATTTTATAATAAAATTCAATTGATAAATATGCACTAATTATATAAGACACTATTAAATTTAAACGGTATTTAAATAATATTAGTAACTTAATAAGGAATCACAATTTATAACCACAAACTCAAAGGATATAGGTAATACAAAAATGATGAATTGAACATGATACTATTAAATTTAAACGGTATTTTAATAAATTGAGTAATTAAATAATAAATTAAAATTTATAGCCACAAACTCAATGGAAGTAGTTTATTTAAAAATAATGAATTGATGGTCGTTTTCGGCACACATGATTACATAATGAATCAATAACCAGTGATCAAGTTTGTTCTGCTGAACGCTGATGATAGATTACGCCACCTGAAAAGTAACCTGTGAAAAAATAACAACAGATTCAATGAATATTTGTGTTTTATTTCTCCTTTTCTTTTTTATTCTTCTTGTGTTCATTTTTTCGAAAGTTAATAGTATGTATTAAGAGAATGTAGCGTACTATTTTATGCTCATTTTTTGCTGACCATGATCAGTGATCATACGCGTTCACTATAACTATCAGTAATTTGTGATAATGTTGTTATGCTGAACGCGACCAATGTATTTAATAGCCGAATTCCACTGGGACATATTTTCACATTCTGCCCAACACTCACGGTTTAACATTTTTAAAAAATAAATAAAAATTATCGATGTATCGTCAGTCTTAGAAGCGTTTTGACTTTTTCTGAAGATTACTGTACAGACGACGTATCTTTAAAACATTGTAATTCTTAAATATGTTGATATATTTAAACGTTTAGAGAAGTTTGCTTATCGTAAAAGACTTTAATCGATATCAAAAAATTAATATCGAACGGCCAATCGATTTTACTACCAGCTCTAGTGACGCATGCGTTTGACAAGCGGTTTTTTCTGCTGACAGAATTTCTGGCTTTTTGCATTTTGCATTTGCAACTGAGTTTTTTGAAGAATCCGAAGAGTGCAAATTATACCTAGAAAGGAAGATCGCGTAGAAAAGCAGCTGAAAAGTCGGTGAAAAAGCGCACGTTGATCGTAGTTTTTTTTTCTCGACATTTTTCTGCAAAAAAAGAAAAGCCCGTGCGTGTGAGTGTGTGAGTGATTGTCTCTCTCTCTCGCTCTTCCTTTATTTTTTTGTCCATGCGTGTGTGTGTTGGTCGCATAAATTTACCGATATTTCGCCTGTGAGAGCGAAACGGGCGTAAAAAGACGAAAGAAGACAAAAAAAAGAGGGCTGAAAAAACAGCGAATTTCGTTCAAATATTGGGCTAAAAACGCAAACGTAAGCGAAAAAATCACTCTTATATAGTGTGTGAGTTTTTTAATAAAATTCCGTGTGCATTTCCCTAACAGCAAACAAAAACAACAAAAAGCTAAGCGAAAAACAGGACGCACAAAAAATCAAAAGGAAGAAGAGAGTCGTAAAGAGGAGAGAGCGAAATAACCAACAACACAAGAATAGTAGACCCAACAACAACAGCAACACAATGAGCAAACAACAATTTGATCTGTTGACCATTGACCCAGAGCATGAATTACGTTTTGTGGGTAAGTTTATTTTATTTGGGTATTAATTTTCCCTTTTCAACATATTTGCAAGGCCTTCTTCTTATCGACCAATAAAAAAAAAGCCAATTCACCTCCAATTTGTTGTTGCAAACAGCAAACTGCAAAGTTCGCTCTCTTTTAAACACACACATTCACACGCTCTCTTTCCTCATCTTTCCCACACTCTGTTTTATATAGCTATCTCTATCACTTTCTTTGACTTTCTGCTTATCAATAATTTCCGTTGTTTTTGTTGTTATTTTGCGTACGATTTATTTGACACCTTTTATTGTTGTTTTTTTTTCATCTGTTCTTTGCTCCTCTTTCAAGATTTGTATTTTTTTTATGCCGGCAGCTGGCGTCGCTCCTTTTCTCACTTGCACTGATTCTCCGTCTCTCTTTCCTGCTCGCCCTGTGTTTTTTGGCTAGCATTTTATTTTTATACCCAAAAACTTGTCATGGGTCATTTTTTTCTTGTCTTTTACTCTTGAATTTTGGCCAAAAAGCAAACGCAACAGCAGCGGTAACAACAATGCAATATGACAGCAAGAGCTCGCACAGTGGGCACACAAAGCATTGCTAACGTTAAAATTCGAATACATATCCATATTTTTTTTTTCAAAAAGATCAATGAATCTGCTATAAATGCCTGAAGAGAACGGTTATTCATATCTTTTAACTGAAATCAATTAATGGTAGACAATACATTAGTCTAAGCTTCAAACACCAAAAAAGGAAATAATTAAACAATAATGAATATTTTAAATCTCAATTTATTGGTGAAAAAGTACTAAGGTCAGTAATTAATCTTTAAAAATATTTCAAAAAAATATATTTACTTTCATTTCCACTGTGCGCAAATATTTTCATATTTGTGAGTGCGTGTGTGTATGAGCCTTAGCCCCATTCTTTTGTACCACCTGCCACCCCACCGCCCCGTTTAGCGTTAAATCGCGAAGGGTGTGGGAGGCAGAGGGCGGAAAACACATGCATGACGCGACTTGTCTAATGAAATTTTCTTGAAATCAAATAAACACACATACCATGTTAAACACAGCGATTCGTGTGTTACTGTTTCATTTGGTGTTTTTGTTGCCACTTAACATTCGGAAAATGATAAAAATGATAGCAGTATTTTGGGAATTTGTAAGTTCTACGATCGATTTATTATTTACCCTCTTCAATTTACATATTACCAAGGCATTGGTAGTGTTAAAACTCATTCTATTGTCTGAATCAATTTGTTAATTTGTTTGTAAATTTACATAAATGTATGGATGTATTTGCAGCAAGTAAATATAATATTGTTTATTTGTTTATAAGATCCGTAACATTTGACCGATTTTTTTTTGCCTTTTAGAGAAAAATTCTTCTTATAGAATGAAAAATGGAATATACAGATTATATTACATTACATACGTTTCAAAGTTTTGTTTTATTCCGTTTTTAATGATCTTAAAAATATTTCTGAATAACTTTAATATATAAATGATTAATATTATTCTGTTATGACAAGTCAGAACTCCTTTTATAGAGTACCCAAAACACGACTCCCCGATGTTTTGGTCTATTTTTTCGGCTTTTGTGCCAGTTTCTCGCTTTTGTTTTGGTTTTAATTCAATTAATTTGAACTTGCTTTGGCCAATGACGCAATGAGCGTGACGTGACGAAAAAATCAGGGAGAGTGGCAAAGTGAGAAGAGCAGGGAAAGTGCGAAAGTGGGTTGGCTTCCCTGGGTGGGGTTATCGTCAATAGAGTGTGACTAATCGGGTGCATTCAATAAAAAGTGTGATAACGCCTGCAGGCTATTCTAAAAGTGCGATAATGCCTAATGTCAAATAAAACCTGATATTTACATATCAGATCGAAATGTACTTAAATATCGATTACCTATTACCTATGGTATTAAACCTATTAATATTTTTTTATTGTTTCACAATTGCAGGTCCCTTCAACCGACCCGTTGTCACAATCATGACTCTGCGCAACAACTCGGCTCTGCCTCTGGTCTTCAAGATCAAGACAACCGCCCCGAAGCGTTACTGCGTACGTCCAAACATCGGCAAGATCCTGCCCAGTCGAACGACCCAGGTGGAGAGTGAGTATTATGATTGTATTTATTTGCATATATATCAGCTAATTGAACCGTTTTTCAATGTACATAGTCTGCCTGCAGCCATTCATCTACGATCAGCAGGAGAAGAATAAGCACAAGTTTATGGTGCAGAGCGTCCTGGCACCCCTGGATGCTGATCTGACCGATTTAAATAAATTGGTAAGGAAAAGAAAGGATGATAAAAATCATATTGTAATTACTAGAATATTAGATCGATATTATTATATAATAAATAAGGTATAATAATCCACTTAATCATTACAATATTAGTTTGCGCAAAGTTAGGGAATTAATATGACTCAGAAAGTGTTTAAACTGATTAAACTATTTAACTAATCAATCTTGCCTGTAATCTTCTCCTGCAGTGGAAGGAACTAGAGCCGGAGCAGCTGATGGACGCCAAGCTGAAGTGCGTGTTTGAGTTGCCCAGCAACGAGGCGAATGCGGAGAACACCAGCGGTGGCGGTGCCATCGGCGGCGGAAGCGGAAGTGCCGGAGGTGGAAGCGGAGGCGTCAACACTAGTTCAGGCATCGCTGAGGCTATCGAGAAGAAGCTCGAGAAGCTCTCCAGCGAGGATATGGTGGGTTCTCCTTGATTAACACCCAATAATGGTTAAATAAATAACGCCACACCTATTTATTCCCCAAATATAGCCCTCGAATTTGCCCGATACGTGCGAGAATATTGAGTCGCTGGCCTTTGAAATCAAGGCGCTGCGTGAGTCCAACAATGAACTGCGAAAAGAAAATCTACACTTGAAGGTATTAATAAATTCAGTTGCGAAACATTTCGAAACCAGTTCAAAGGCATATTTATGTGTTTCAATTAGTTTGTTTTGTATTTGCTATCTTTTTAAGGCATTTAAAAGTACCCTTTTTAACCGGTCTTCATTTCTCTTCATTTTTCAGGATCAAATCACACGCTACCGCAGCTCGCCGGCAATTAAGCAGGTGAATGAGCCCTATGCTCCAGTTCTGGCTGAGAAGCAGATTCCGGTCTTTTACATTGCAATTGCCATTGCTGCGGCCATTCTTAGCCTCCTGCTGGGCAAATTCTTTCTCTGAATGCCATAAACGATCGCCAGCAACATGCAACGTGCAGCAACAGCAAGACAGCGGCAACATCATCAAACAGCAACAGCAGCAGCAACTAACAACAGCAACTAACAACAGCAACCACAACGAATGAACAACAGCAGCAGCAGAAGCATTAAATTCCATCATCGGCAAACAAGAAAGAAAACCCAGAGATAAAAACAAAGCTGACAAAAAAAAAAAGAAAGAAAGCAGCAGAGAAAGAGAAAGGGAAAAAACAAGAGAGACATAAAAATCGTAAATTCGCAAATGGGGAAATCTCTTTAAAAATATTTAAAACTACACCTACTAAGATCCCATACGTATATTGCTCAGATTTTCAATTGCATTTCTTTTTCGCTATTAATATTTAAGATTTTTTTAAAAAGCTTCACAACCATTTTTTTTTATTCGTTTTTGATGCATTTTAAAACGGAAAAGTTGAAGTATTTCAAAGAACAACCAAAATTATTTTTAAATTGAATTTATAATATATTTTCGACGAACATTAAAAATATAAATATAAAATTGTTACGTGAGTGCGAGAATTAACTTCAGTTTAACATTTTTTTTTCTTTTTTTTCAACCACCAAGACCTAGATGTAAAATTTAAAATCGAAAAATGAAAACCAAATGTCAAGAAAAAAACCTTGAGCAAAATGCAAAACAAAAATACAAAAAGAAAAAAATAAAGAACACTTGTATGGAAAACCAATCAATGAAAAAGCTTCAAAAAGAAAACATGCTCTGCAAGGCCGATGCTCTCTAAAAGAAAAGTTGCTTCACCCCCCGTCGTATCTCTCTCTCTCACTTTTTGTCTGTCCCTTTCTAAATCCCGAAATGAGATCGAACGCGGGTCTATATATAATTATATAGATATATAAAAAAATCATTATTGTTTTTGGAGCATTTGCATTTACTACGTTTCGTTTTAGTCATTTCAGTGGTTACATTACTACACCCATACAGACACCACTCAATGAACGCTATACATATATATATATATTGTACGAATATAATGAATTTCTATAAGCAAACCTTTATGTAATTTGTGTTGTTTGCCAAGGCCGAATTGAAAAAATTCCTTAGCCTAATTAGCAGCGAAATTGCGAAAATCCATAAACTATTTCTGATACGATATATATATATGACCGAATAGGTGCAGCAAAATCAATCAACTTTTTAAAAACATTTGACTCAAACAGACACACACGACTTGTTGATGGTTAACACTAGATCCATGGATCCATAGATCCACCATACCCACTTGGTTCCTTCCGTTCCGCCCTCTAATTACTCGCTTTGTACTTGTAAAAACCGGGTAACTGGCGATGCAACTAGTTTTTCACCATTATTATTTCGCCTCACATATTTCATTGCATTTGTTTGTGGTTACGACTTTTTTATATAGTTTGCAAAGCATTGAAAAAGGGTATATAGATTTATACATGAATATATATTCGCTGACATGCATGATCGCTGTATTTTCATAGGCATGTGGAAAGTCGTATTTAAATGTTTAACTAGAAATACAGAAAACAAAAATCTAAAAATAAATAAAAAGAGAAGTGGAAGTAAAAACAAATAAAAAACAAAAAAAAAAAAGCAAATCATAAGCAAAATGTACTTGATGTCAGCTGTAGCAAAAAAGAAAAACACAATATATATGAACATAATAATAATATAATAAAAAAATGTGGAAACGGAACTTAACATTTAACAATTGTTTCGGTACATTTAACAACATTGAATTGCATTACCTAATTGAAATCAACCAACATACACTCTACACACGCCCAACAGTCTCCTCGCAAATCAGCCGCAAAATCAATGGAATATATAAGATGTCGCAGGTGGAGGAGATCGGGAAATGCAGGAGAAGATCGCAACACAAGCAAGAGAAAAACAATTATTATAATATTTACAGCATGAATCTTAAAAACTAAGTGTTTTTTTCTCAAAGGAAAAATAAAATGAAACATTGTTAATTAAACATCAAATATCATTTGAAATAAATTTAAATAAAACGAAAAGCGATGGTATTTAGTTGATTCGTTGATAATCTAAAACTTCGTCTACAAGTTTCTTATGATTTAGTTATCATAGAAATAAGAAAATACAGACTTGGTTGATCTGAAAAGAAATCCATTTAAAACACAAATATATATATTTTGGTTTAATTCTTAAATTCTTTAGTTAAATTTTCTCGTTTTTTTTTTCTTTTTGCTTCTGCTTCGCTTCATTTCGTTTTGTTTTATACAATTTTTACATATCTACAACATAAAACGTACGCGTTTGGAACAAAATCGGGAATCGGGAATTCCGGGGCCAGCCTTTCAGCTAGCCAAGGTACATAATATCGTATAAAGAACTCTAACGCTATCGCTATCGCCATCGTCCGCGCAAGGAAGGCCAGAATTAGGGTTAATGCTATGATTCGTTATCAAAGTGCTAGTCGTGGGAGCCCATCTGAAGGCATCTTGGGTTCGTGCTTGTCCTCGCCGGTGAATGGGGAAGGGCTAGCCGGAGGTCTCCTCCTCCTTGTTGTTGTTGCCCAGTATCCAGTCCATGAGCATCATCGATGGCGAGCGCAATGCGGACTGAGCTGGAGATTTGGATTTGGTATCGGAATTTTGGTTAGGACATCATCACATGTTGATGTTTAGGTGGCTTCCACTCACAGAGATCCTCGCCGATTGTTGGTGGTGCGGAAGGGGATGTCGCTACTGATCCCTGTCCAGATCCTGATCCCTGCTGCTTGGCCATGTCCTTCTGCAGCTGGATCATCTGCTGCAGGCGCTGCTCGCGCTCGTCCACAATGGCCTTGTCCTTGGAATGCTTAACCGTCTGCAACTCTGCGAGCCTGAAAAGTGTAATGATAATTAGTACAAAGTATTCCTCACAAAGTTGTAAACGGCGCAGCGAATGATATGAGATGTGTAACAAATTTTAATTCAATATTCCGATTATATTGATTTATAAATATAAAATATATATGTTAACAGAATGTCATTTGTTTTGTTTCCACTTTACCATCTTTGGATCATATATATTGATATGCTTTTTTACGGATATAACCGCTGCATCGTTTACAACTTGAATTATTTATTTGTCAGCACTCACTTTTGCTTGAGGTCACTGGTTGCACTGGTTGTGGTTCCCAGGAGCTCGCTGCTGCTTCCGGCGCTGCTGGTTTTGCTGGGGCTGCTGCCCGAGGCGGCCGATGAGGATGCAGTGGCGCAGACGGCTATATAATTGCAGATACAAATAAGTTGGGATCGACTCTATAAGGCAAAATGGAAAGAAAAACCCCACTCACGTTCATCGCTGACGCGACTGCGCTCCGTTTCCAACTGGCGCAGCGTGTCCGATAGCTTCAACTGCAGATGGTCACGTTCCTCGAGCAGCTGCACCAGTTCCAGGATCATCTCCTCGACGCGCATGTCCCGCTGGTGAAGCATCATCAGGGCGTAGTCGAGGTCCGCCTTAAGCACATACTCGGGCAGTGGTTCGTTGGCAGTTAACGGCGGTGGTCCACCAGCTGAGGCGGCACCGGCGGACGGAGATGGATTTCCACCGGATCCCCCGCGATTCTGCAGCCGGAAGGGATCGTATTGGGCCGCCAGACGAGCGTACTCTGCCGAACGGATGGCCAGCTGCTCCTTGAGCGTGACGATCTCCATTTCCTGCGTTTCCAGGGCCTTTTGCATCTTCTGCATCATGTCCTCGCTGGCTTCTCCTGGCTGTTGCGTGGATGGCTGATGTACCCTTGCCTGCTCCCTCTGCTGGCCAATCTCCTCCAGCTGCGCCTTGAAGGCCGCCTCACGCTGCGCAAGATGCTCCTGCCAAATGCTGGCCACCTCGCCACACTTTTGCTCCACCAACTGTTCCCACTGCTGATTAATGGCCGCCAGATCGGGAATTTGCTGAGGGATTGTGGGTGTGGGATTGGGATTGGGAGTCTGGCCAAGATTTTGGCTCTGCAAAACCTCGAGGGTGCGGCGCAGTTCGGTGATCTCAATGTTTTTCGTATCCAGCTGAAGCAGCGTCTGCTTCATCCTATCCTCCAGCTCCAGGCTGCCGAGAACGTGATTGTTAAGCACACGCAGCTCCTCCTCCATGTCGGATTTTTCCTGCTGAAGCTGCTGGCACTGGACACGCAGCCGTTCTACGGATTCCCCATCACTCGCAGCCACAGCAGTAGCAGCTGTCTCCTGGTGATCCTCCCTGTCCTCCTCCAATTGCTTGACCTGCATGCGCAGCAATTGAAGCTCCTGGTTCTTGGTCAGGATCTCGAAGACAAGCTTCTCCGTTTGATCCTCGCGCATCAGCTCCTCGATGCGCTGCTTCAGGTGGACAATCTCCGCTTCCTTCTCCTGCAATTGGACCATTTGCTCATCGTTCCTGGAGTCCACATCCACCGCAGGCTCCTGACTTCTGATCCGACGCAGTGCCTCCAATTCGGCTTGGTCGCGTGCGCGTTGTGCTTCCAGTTCGATGAGTTGGTGGCTCAGTTGCTGGAACTCCAGTCGTTGGTTGTTCCGCTGGGATCTCAGGTGCTCCACCTCACTCTGGAGTTGCCGCAGGTGTTCCTGTTCTACTCGTTGGAACTCCAAGTGATCCTGCTCAATTATTTTACTCTGTAACTGATCTTCTTGGATATTTTGGCTGTGCAACGAGTCCTGCTGCAATTTGAAGGTTCTTAAGTGCTCTAGTTCAGGTTGAAGGCTCCTCAAGTGCTCCAGTTCGGGTTGAAGGCTCCTCAAGTGCTCCAGTTCGGGTTGAAGGCTCCTCAACTGCTCCACTTCAATCTGGAGGGTCCTTAAGTGCTCCACTTCTGTCTGAAGGCTCCTCAATTGAACCACCTCGCCGTGAAGCTTCCTGAGGGACTCCACCTCCACTTTAAGAGCCTGCAACTCCTCCACATTGGCCTGTCCCTGCCTCAACTCCTCCACCTCCTGCAGACGCTCTCTTAGCTGCTCCTCCAGGGTCTCCTTTTGGTCCTGGACCTGGGCGTTGGTTTCCTCGGCCAACTGGACCAGTCGTCTCTCCTCTTTCAGTTTCTCCTGCAGCTCCTGGCACTCTGCATTCAGATCCTGGTTCTCCGCCTGTAGATTTTCCATCCTCGCCACCTCATCGCCGCTCAATGATGAGGAGACAGCAGCAGGAGCGGCTGGAGCAGGAGCTGAAGTTGGGGGCACATCCCACTGGTCCAGTTGGCTGAGCTTCTCCTGGAGCTCCCGGATGCGGGCCTGATACATCTGCACATCCATGTCCTGGCGCTCCTTCAGCTCCGCCATACGTTCGTTGCCGGCGGTCAGGACATCGATGCGCTTCGCTAACTTCTCCTTTTCCAGGGCGTGCTGCTGTGTTAGCTCATCGGCCTTGGCTTGACGGGATTCGTGCAACTGGAGCTGGTGCTTCAGCTCCTCGATAATGGCCGTATCCAGATCGTTATCCACTGCCAATGTGGGCGTTGCGGCCACAGTCGTTGTCGCCTTCGTTTTGTATTCCTTGAGGCGCTTCATCAGCTTGGCCGCCTTGGTCTGCAGTTCGGTCTTTTGCTGCTCCGCATTGGCCAACTGGAGCTCCAAGTGGGCGATCCTGGCGTGCAGTGGTTCCACATCCGTTTGCGGCGCTTCGGTGGCGGCACTCGCCCACGGATCCTCGTCCATGCCCCAATCTATGGGCTGCTGCTCCACGTGTTCCTGCTTCGGCTGGCACAAATATGCCTTTTTGGGCTGAATTAGAGGTTCCTCCACTGGCTCCACCTGCGGCAGGCCCAGGTCCAAATGGTGACTCACGGCATCGTGCACTGTTTCCCCAGCAGCTTGCCCGCCAAAGAACATGTCCAGAGTGGGCGCTGCCGCCGGTTGGATGAGCTTCTCCAGCGCCGCCAGGCGTTCACGCTCCTCGTTGGCCGACTTAATCTCGGCCAGCTGCTGATCCCGCTCCCTCAGCAGGCGCTCCAATTCCATTAGGTGCTGCTCCAACTGCAGGCGTCGCTCTTCCTGCTCCGACAGACTTTGATTGCGCGCCAGCAGCTTCGTTTCCAGATCCTGGGCATGCTTCTCCAGGTCGGACACATTCCGCTGCAGATCCTCGATGGTGGGTGGCGTGGGAATGGGTGGCGGTGGAACCGATGCACCTAACGAGGAGACCTTTAAGGGCTGTGCCGCAATCTCATCGAATGGCGAGGGTGCGGCCAAAGCATCACCGCCGAAGAACAGGGAAGTCGAAGGAGGATGCTGCTGAGTCTGTTGAACCACAGGATGAAGGTGATGATGATGCTGCTGTTGTTGTTGCTGGTGGTGCTGCTGCCTGGCCAACTGTGCCTGCAGCTCGCTTAGCTGCTCGGCCAACCGCCTGTTCTCCGTCTCGATGTAAACCTGGTCGTCCGTTTGATTCTGGCCCAGAGTATCCAGCTCGGCGATTTGCTGCTGCAGGGCCTGCAACTCCTGGCTGTGATTGGCGCAGAGCGCATCGATCTGGGTGCGCAGGTTGTCCATTTCGGTCTTGTCCTGCAGCGCCTGCATGCGCAGCTCCTGCAGCTCCAACACATCCTGCTCGGCACTGTCCTGCTGCAAGCGCAGCAGGGTCACTTCGCGGCTCAGGGTAGATCTCTCGCGCTCCACCTCCTGGAACTCCTCGCTGAGTCGCTGCAGCTCCTCCGCCCGCTGGCTGACAAGCTCTTGGGACCGCTCCAGCTGCTGGACAAGATCTCGCGTCTCGGCAGCCGCTCGCTCCACATGACCATTGAGGTCACACTCGAGCTCATCCAGTTCGGTGGCCTTGGCGGCCAGCTTGGCATCGTACACCTGTCGCTGACGCTGCAGATCCGCCTCCTTGGCGGCCAGTTGCTGGTGGAGATCGGCCAGCTCCTCCTGACTGGTGCTGTTCAGCTGCTCCCGCTCTGCCTGGGCAGCGGCCGCCTGCTGAGCCTGTTTGGACAGCAGGGACTCGTATTCCGCGCGGAGGCGAGTCAATTGTTGCCTGGACTCCTCCGCTTCGCCGGTGGCCAGCTCAAGTTGGCGGCTTTGAGCCTGCTCCCTTTGTTGCAGTTCGTACAGACGCTCCTGCAGCTGTTGATCCTGCTCACGCTGCTGCTCCTCCTGCTCGCGCCGTTGCTGCAGCTGTTGCTCCAGTAATTGTGTGTGATCCTGGGCAGCCGCCTGCTGGTTGGCCTGGCTGGCGGCCTGCTCCTCGAGGACAGCGCTCCGGGCCAGCAGCTCCGTGTTGTGCGCCTCCAGCGACTCAATGTACGAGGCATCCTCCTGCAGCTTGGCCTGAATGCCCTCGTGAATCGTCTCCAGGCGCGCGATGGTCATCTCAAAGTTGGCCTTATCGCCGGCATACTGCTGCGCCAGCAGCGAATGCTGCTCCTGGGCCGCCGTCAATTGGACACGAAGGTGCTGGTGCTCCTTTTCGGCCGCTTGCAGGGATTCCGCTTGCTGGAGCTGAAAGAATTTAGGAAATAGAAACATTACTTTACAAGCAAAGGGCTTAAAAACAACTGAGTTTCACTATGAAATATGACAGCTGGACTCACCGATTGGGATTCCAATGGTTGTTGTGTTATCTTATTAATGGTGACATCGCCTTCGCCGGCGGCGCTAATCCTTTGGCTCTCCAGCAATTGGGCAATCTCCTGGCGCAGGGAGGCAATCTATTTTGCGGGGGGTTTATAAGATTAACAATGACAAATGAAGAAAACGATTGCCCACCTCCTCATCCTTCTCCAGATGCAGTTGCTCCTGCGCAGCTGCTCGCTTGGTGCGCACATGCTCCACCTCGCTGGCCTGATCCTGCTGCAACTGCTGGAGGTCCCGCTGCAGCGCTTGAATGGTGGCATTGCGATGCTTTATTAGCTCCTTGGACTTTTCGAATTTCTTGGATTTCTGCTCCAATTGGCGCTGCAAATCCTCGACCGCCGCCGTCGGCTGATTGCTTAGCTTCTGTTCGAGATTGTGGATTTCCTGCTGCCGCTGGGAGATTTCCTGCCTGAGCCTGGAGTTCTCCTGGCCCTGCTGGAAGACCTCCTCCTCGGCTTCTTGGCGCTCGCGTCGCAGCTCCTTGTTCACCAGGTTGGCATCTTGGAGCTCCGTATCGCGTGCCTGGATCAGTAGTTCTTGCTCTTGGATTTGCTGCTTCAGCTGACGCAGTGCATCGCGATTCTCGAGGTTCACATGGATCTTGGCCTTGAGATCTTCGTTGAGTTTGCTGACCTGCTGCTGCAGCTTCTCCACTTGTTGGGTATCCATCAGCGGTTCGGGCTCCTTGGCCACCTGCTGCTGCTGTTCTTGAAGTTGACTGGTCAGCTCCTGGATCTTCTGCTCGAGTTCGGCATTGTCCTGGGTGCGCTTCTTGAGGTTTAGGGCATACTTCTTGAGCTTCTCGCGCAATTCACGGGTCTTGAGCTGCTCCTCCTGGCGGGCATGTTCCACGCCCTGGTAAAGCTCCTGGATTTGCTGGTTCAGCGCATCGATCGTCTCCTGGCTGGAGGCCAATTCACTGACCTGCTGGGCAGCCAGACTCTTGCTGATGCGCAGTGCCTCCCTCAGTTGATCCGGATCCTCTTTGGCCCTCAATTCCCGTAGCTCCTCTTGGGCGGACTGCAGCTCCAGCAGCTTTAGGTTGAGAGTGTGCTCACTTTCGCTGAGGTTCTCGATGAGTTGCTGCTTCTGCTCGGCCACCAGAGCCTGCAGGATGCTCAGTTCACCCTCGAGCGACTCGCCACCTGACTCCAACTCTCGACGAATCCGTGTCTGCTGCTCCAGTTGCTTCTCGTGGCTCATTTCCTTGGCGTTCAGCAGCTGATCGAATTGCTCCGCTTGCAACTGAAGCTGTGTGATCTCGGCACTTTGCCTGGCCACCAACTGCAACTGATCCGCCTCGATTTGTCGCAGTTCCCGGATCTGCTCCAGCTGCTCCTCGATCTGCTGACGCTGCTCGGCCTGCGCGGAGCGTGTGTCCTCGAGCAGCGATTGCAGATGGAGGAACTCCTCCTGGTCCTTTTGATTGTCCAAACTAACAATGGCCAACGGCGGTCCCTCTGCTTCCGGATAGCTATCCCTCATTTCATCCAATTCCTGCCGCAAACGCGATATCACCGCCTTGAGTTCCGCATTCTGGGCATTCAGCTGCTCGTACTCCGCCAGAGCTTTGCCATTGGGGGCGGTGACGGCCACCACGGTCTCCACCACGGTCACAGTTTCCACCGCCGTGCTGGCCTCCTTCACCTTGTGCAGCAGCTCGCTCAACTGGGTGTGACAGTTCTTGGCCTCCTTGGCCAGTTTCTTGGACACATTGAACTTGGCCTGGCGGTCGTTGGCCCGGCGATAGGCCTCCAGTTCCGAGTTGAGTTTACTCAGCGATTTCTCGCATTTCTCGAAGAGCACAGGGCCACCTTCGCCGGCATCCAAGGTGGCCACCACCTCCGAGGAGCGCTGCATAGAGCTGAGTTCCTGCGAGAGATTCGACGAGGTGGACGTGGAGGAGAGCAGATCCTTTTCACGTTCACGCTGCAGCAACTGCAGGGAGCTGGAACTCTCCTCCAATCTGGCCTGCAGTTGCAAATTCTCCGCGGACAGCTGCTCCAGTTTGTCCAAGACCTCGCCGCGTTCCTGTGTGAACAGTTCGAGGCGTTCTCTGAGATGGGATAGGCTCTCGCCACCCGACTCCTCCTCCTCCAGCGTTTGATCCGTCTGGGTGAGCTCGCTGACATGACTGGGCACTTGCTGGACCGGATCCACCTGCTTCTGCTCCTGAGCATCACCCTCGCTGGCCGGACGTCGTTGGCCAAAGCATTCTAGTTGCTGCCGCTCCACGATTTCAATGGATTCCGCCGAACTGGACGAGCTCAGCTTCTCCAGCTTGTCCAGCAACTCCATGTTCTCGTTGATATAGTGCGTTAGCTTCTTGTCCAGCGTTTCCTTTTCCGTTTGCAGGGTGTCCAGCTGATGACGCTGCTCCTGGGCCTCCTGTTCAAGTTGCTGAACACGTTGGGTCAGCTGCTCCTCCATTTGAGCTTCGCTCAGTTCGGATTCGACGCGGGCGGACTCGTGACCTTGCTGCAGTGCCTCCAGGGCCTGTTGCAATTCCAATTTCTGCTCTTCCAGCAGGCGAATGGCCTCCAGTTGCAGGGGATTGGACTCCGCCGGCTGCTCCGGCTGGGTATCCCTCTCTTCGCGATCCTTATCCTTCTCCTCCTCGTCCTCCTGCATGTTGGCCAACTGCCACTGGCCCTTCTCGTCCTCGAGGACCGTGATCCTCTGCTGCAGCTGCTCGTTATCCGCCGCCAGTGTGGCCAACTGCTGCTGGCCATCCTGGGACTGCAGTTTCTGCAGCTGCTTCTCCGTCTGCTTGCACTTGAGCTTCAGCTTGATGTTCGCCTTGTTGGACTCGTCCAACTTCTGCTTCAGCTGCTGCAGTTCCTCCTGCAGCTGCTTGCTGGCCCCGCTGTCCTCCAGATGATCGTCGAGGAAAAGGGGTTTACTGCGACTGCTTTGGGCCAGTTTCTCCTCCAGCAGACGCAGATTCACATTGAGCACATTGAGTTCCGTGGTCTTTTCGGCTAGTTCTTCACTTTGGCCAGCCATTGCGGACTTTTGCTTCTCCAGTTGCAATGATTGAGCTGTTATGGTGGCTTCTAGTTCCTCCAGTCGGGCAGAAATACTCTCATCGCTCACCTGGAGCTTCGTTCGGGCGACTAACTCCTGACGCAGCTCCTCGTTGGTAGCCTGCAGTTCGCTCAGTTGATTGGTGAGCTCCTGGAGCTGTTTGGCCAGCTCCAGGCTCACCTGGGCATCGGTGGCCGCCGTCTCCGACTGCCGACTGCTGGAAGACTTCTCGTGCTCCAGTTCCAGCTCCAGATCCCGCTGCCTTTCCCGTTCGCGTGCAGTGGTTAGCTCTTCCTGGAGTTCACAGCGGGTCGTCTCTAGCAGATCGTTTATGTTCTCCAGCTCTGCCAGTCGTTCTCTTAGGACTAACACCTCTCCCTGGAGGCGGGAATGCTCCTGCTCCTGCAGGCTTTCCTCCACCACCTCCACCTCCTCCTTCTTGGTCTCTGCCTCCCTTTGGCCCAGACGCAATTGCTCCAACTCCTGATTTCGCTGAGTGAGCGTGCGCTGCAATTCGGCACCGGATAGCTCCAATTGCTCGATGAGATTGGCGCGCTTGGCCAGTTCCGTGCGCAATTCCTGCATCTCCAGCTCCTGGCGACCCTGCTTGAGTTCCGTCAGCTTCATGCGACTCTTGAGCAACTTTACCCGGCTCTCGTCCAGCGGCTCCTGACCCTGGGCCTCCAAATCCAAGGCGGAACGGTGACGGGAAACGGGCGGATTGGAGCTTGTCATAGTCTGCCGCAGATCCGTCATGGAAGAGCCCAGCTCGGCGGTATTTTGATGGCCAATATTCGACTTTACGGAGAGCAGGGATTTGGCCAGATCCCTTTTGCGTTGCTCCAATAAAGCGCGATTCTGCTCGGTGCGCTGGGTGAGCATAAGTAGCTTCTCACTGCCGCTGGTTTGGAGCGACGAAACCTCTCCTGCTCCTGTTCCTGCTGGGGCGGTATCCTTCGTGGGCGTGACCAGTGGAGTGGAGGTGCCGCCGGAACGCGCCTTCAGCACGGTGAGCTTCTGTCCCAGCGTCTTCAGCGACTCCATGGAGTCACTCATGCTGGGCTTGCGTCGCCCATCCTGCGATTTTCTCAAGGCAGTCAGGCGTTCCTAAAGAGGGGTTTTCTGATTAGTTGATTTATATATTGAAGTTTTTGCATTTCTGATTACCTGTTGCTTGTACAGATTCTCTTTAAGGCTGTCCAAACGGCCCTTGCCTTCGGTGCCTCTCGTTGTGCTGGCGGATACATTCTGAAATGGATTATGCAGGTTATTTAAATCACTTTTAACCAACTGATATCCTAGGATCTTAAATTCGGTAAATTGAAACATTTAGCTTTAAAATCAATAACACTAACCACATATAAATGAGTCTTATTCGCTTATACCTTTTCCTTTATTGTGATTCTGTCATCATAATAGCTATTACCAACTGGTCATAATAATAATAATTTAAATATAAAATTCACTCAAATTAACTTCAACCTTAAAACGTATATCAAATAAATTAGACAAACTTATTTGGCAATAAGCACAATCATTTAATTATTTAACTTTTATGTTCTATGAGAAAGTACTGTTTTTAAAATGTACATTAAATTCCATAAAAATATTTATGAATTTATTCATGTTATAAAAATAAAAAAGGATGTTAAAATGTGTTATCAATTAAATTCCATTTGATTGCTGCAAATAAAATCCTCCACGTTTAATTCCTGATAAATAATATATATTTAAACTTTAAGAACACCATTCCTCATTTGTTACTAGTTCTTGACAAAATCCACATTTTATTTCTGATAACTTTTAATTATAACACATAAACGTAATCCTTAATCGATCCTTACCATTCTATAATGGTAGAAACGCTTCTTCCGGTAATCGTACTTAATATTGGGATTAACATGTGGCCAATCTTTCAATGTAACTCATACAAATTTAAATTTTAATTCCATAAAAAAGGCAATTGTCCTCCTGAAACCCTTAACTTTAATATAGACATAATCCTTCATCATAAGTAATCTAAGATCCTGGGTTTCACTGGGATTTGCTCACCTGTAACAAGGACAGGTCGTTGGAGCTGCCCGTCAAGCGTATATCCGCCTCGCCATATTCGTGATCATCGGGCTGCAAGGAGTAAAAGTCATCGTGGTCAGTTGATGCATGTGATCCCTTTGGGGAAATCCAGATGTAACTCACCTGAACGATGGAGAAATCGTAGGAACTCTCCAAAGCAGCCGAATCCTCCTCCATTGTCGTTTCAATTACAAAATAATACTAACTATCTAGTTTTCAAAAACCGAAAGGAAAATAGGAAAACAAACAAAAACAAAACAAAACAGAAATCGGGGGATCGGGAATATATATGCGGACTGGCTATCTGAAGGACCGATTATATATCCACGGTGCCTGCGCAGCGCTATCTATCGACATTGACTGGAATGAGAGAGATTTAACCATGTAGCTAGCATATATTTTCCGGTTCCAATCGGATTGGACTATCTTTAACTTTAAGTTTGAGTTTGAGTTTTATATTGTTTTTTTTTTTGGAATTCGTGGCACTGACGTGTGCATTTGCATCTGTGTGTGTACGTGTGTGTATGGTTGCGTGTATCCCTGTGCGTGTGTTTTGTTTGCTGGTTTTTCGCAGCCGTTTTAAACCGATTTTCCAGTTGGTTATAGAGTTTTAATTGACTGGCAACTCGATTTGGGCGAAAGAACTTCTATATAATTACGCTGACAAACGTATATTTACCAATTCTAATTAATGCCAGCGTAAAAACAATGCAAAACCAGGGCTGCGCAAACAACTGAACTCTTATATTCAACCCTGCTGCGTTCTTTGTGAATGGCAAAGTTTATTTAGTGTTGGGCAAAGTGCTTAAATAAATTATTTTAATTTGAATTAACTGAAATTATGTATTCCAACATTTTAAATACCAATGGCCGTGATGAACATGCTTATTTTCAAGCAAAAATAGTATCAATTACATATATATTTGCCAGAGGTAGGTAATAAATCGAGCACCCACATATATAAATAGTTTTATGAATATTTATTTCATTGATTTATTAATAAATATATATTATATATATTAATAAATTTGAATAATCAGATTTATAACCTTGATTTTAAAATCAATAACTCCCATTTAAATTAAAATCTTAAATTAAAACAAATTTTTAAAATACAAATATATTATATTTTCACATAACACTTTTTTATGTACAATTTTTAACTTTTGTCTAAGTTAGTTTTTAACAATGTTGCGTTTTCAAGTACATACACAGTGATTATATATAAATAATATACTTGAATTAAATGGATTCACAAATTAGTGCACCTAAATGCATTGGAAAGGAAATAATTGTTAATTACATGTTAAACATAGAATACAATAAGATAGCCATACAAAAAGACAGTTTGGAACCACCAGACTAGATGCGACACTTATATACATAAAATATCGAAGCACGGGTTGTCACAGAAGCGGCTTAAGATTTTAGCTTTAAAATTTTGAAAAAAAATCGTTTTCGTTTAAATGAAACCACTTATGTTTAAGGAACGAGTCATCGTTATTGGAAGAGATATCTTTGGTTAGATCCTGAGTTATTCGGCATTTTTAAGAGCCTCTATGACTGAGGCATGTTCGCCGCGCTCGGCATAATCCAAGGCGGTCAGGCCGAGCATGTCCTTCTCGTGGGGATTCTCGAAAAATGGTAGAACATATTCCACTACCTCAAGAAAACCATGGAGTGCGGCCACGTGCAAGGCCGTCCTGCCCGAAGGATCCGACTGGGCAAGATCGGCGTTGGCATATTGATAGGATTTCAAACGCGTCATCGATCCTCGAGCGGCTGCCGCACACAGTTCTTCGCCCACAGCTCGCGAAGAACCCGTCAAATGGGCCCCGCAATTGATGAGCAACTGAATGATCTCGTGGCCATCGGTTGATACGGCCTCGAGCAGCGGAGTGCGATCATAGCGATCCCGGACATGCACGGACACCCCGTTCTGTAGAAGATACTTGACGATCTCCACGTTCCCCAGCTGAACGGCTAAGTGCAAGGCCGTTCGCTGATCATGATTCGTTCCCGACAGATCAGCTCCATAGGTCTTCAAATTGTTGATCTTCTTTAAGTCGTTCTCAGCGATGGCGGCATTGATCATCGCCGGAAATAGGGTCTCACCCAGCTGATCTAGTTCCTGGGGCGAGGATAGGTGCATGGATCGAGCCACCGCATCCACCAGGTCGTAGTCCTCCATCTTGGGTGCCTTCAACGAGGTGAGTTCGCCCCTCAGGTTTGACTGCATCATCTGAAACATTTCACAATTTGTGGTTAAATGAGGCAGAGAGCGACATCCTCGTAAGATACAAAGTTTACCTGCTTTTTGACCTCCAGTGGCCACTCCTCCTTGCCGATGACGTAGGCAAGTTTCGATAGCGCCGCCTCGGGAGTCATATCGAATCCGGGAATCACACCCACGTCGCACAGGACTTTGCCCGTATCGTAGATCTCGGCGACGCTTCCATTGGGACACTGCGTGCAATTAATGATGATCACGCCTCTTTCGTTGGCCGCCCGCAGTTCATCGATCAGATCCGTACGATTCGATGGTATATTTCCGGACCCAAAGGATTGCAGGACCACTCCTCGTATGGGTGGAGCCAAAAACGCTTGGAAAGTCGAATGCGAAATGCTCGGAAAGATGCGCAGCAATCCGACATTCGCATCCAGATTCAATTGCACACAGAACCTTTCAATGCTGCACGGCCGGAAGATCAGGCGATAGTCCACATTCACATCTATGCCGATCCTCGCCAGCGGTGGAACATTTGGCGAGTCGAAGGCATCCAAGGCATTCGAACTGACCTTCACCGTCCGATTTCCGCGCATCAATTTGTGCGCAAACAGGATGGTCACCTCCGGAATGATATAATTACTGGCTATGATAAGAGCCGAAGTAAAATTGTCCTTGCCATCGGTACGCGTCTCGAAAATCGGAATTTGGGAGCCCGTAATAATGACCGTCTTGCCCAGATTCTCCAGCATGAAGGACAAAGCGGAGGCCGTATAGGAAAGTGTGTCGGTGCCATGAAGAACCACAAAGCCATCAAAGAACTCGTAGGATTGCTGAAAATGTTGCAATTAATTTCATTCAATTCTTGTAGACATATTTTCCAATCCCTACCTGAATATCGCTGGCGATTCGGGCCCATTCGTTCATCGACATATTGCTGCTGTCCAGAAGAGGCGTGTACTCCACGATCTGGTAGATGATCCTGCGTTCCAAGCCCTGTACGAAGGGCAGAACCAGCGGGGCCATCGATGCAGATGCTCCAAAGCGACGCGACGCATACTGCTCGTCGTGGAGGTTCGGATATTTCCGAATGCTGCGCACCAGAGCATTGGGAATGGGAGCCAGCACTGCAATGGTAAAAATATTGTTATTTTTACTACTTAAATCAAAAAAATACTCATTCACTTTCAAGGGTGGTTTTCTATAGATTTTAAGATTTTAGTTAAAATAGTACTATTACGAAATTAAAAATATGTTACATATATTCATAGGAATAACTGACTTTCATTTGTCATTTTTTAAGCACTTGTTATTCACATTTTTGCGTGTCCTTCTGCAATTTCAATGTGCTTTTCATTCTGGTCTTAATTTTGTTCACAATTTTCATAAAAATGTATTAAGGCTTTTGTTTTGAGATTTCTTAAAGTTTACATTTTGAAAAAAACATGCCGTTTTATTGTCTATTAATAGTATTACAACTAACTTAATCCCTATAATAAGTCTATTAATCAGCCAGTGCTTTTTAATTCCGTGAATCAGAACACGGAATAATTAACCAATAAATACTATAAGGTACATAGCTATTGTACGTGTCAACAAGAGGAAATCGACTAATATTCATTGATTGCTTTCCAAGAAAGCTTATTTGTAAATACGACTTGTAAGTACTTGTGATTGAAAAAAACTGGTGAATTCCCCGATATTAAATTAGAGGCGCTATAAAGTGCAATAAAGTTTAAAGTCAACAGGAAGTGCCCTCTTTTTAAGGGTTTTATATAGTACAATAGCGTGTAAATTCAACAGGACGCAATCTATTGTATGGCTTGTTTTCCAAGAAAGATTATTTGTTATAAGACGTATAATAAATAAATTGGTGAATTCACCAATACTTATAATTGTAAGGGCTTTTAAAATAAATATAGTTTGCATACTTTTCTAAGATAATGAAATTACATTTAAATGCCAACCAAAATTTGTATGATTCTGATTTTTAAAATACGAATTTTAAATATTTAAATATTAATATGTTTATCTGATAGATCCCGATAAATAAGTTTTTTTTTGGGGCGCTTACCATTCCGTTCGGTTCCGCCCGCGCAGATGACCTTCACACGGGCCTCCTTCACATCCTGGGCCATCAGCATTACTCGTTTAATAATATTATTAAAACTAACTATTAATCAGCCAGTGCTTATTAATTATAGTCTTCTTAGGCCCGTGAATCAGAACACGGAATAATTAACCAATAAATACTATAAGGTAGCTATTGTACGTGTCAACAAGAGGAAATCGTAGACTAATATTTATTGATTGCTCTTCAAGAAATCTATTTGTAAATACGACGTGTAAGTGCAGGTGATGGAAACTAAACTGAGGAATTCCCCAACAACTGGCGAATTAAAGGCGCTACATATATAGTGCAATAGAGTTTAAAGTCAACAAGAAGCAATCTATTGTTTATCGTAGATAGCTTGCTTTACAAGAAATCTTATTTGTAAATACGACAGGTAAAAAAAAAAATTGGTGAATTCCCCAATATCTGGTGCATTAAGTGCAATAAAGTTTTATGTCTGCAAAAAGTGCCCTTTTTAAAGGGCTTTATACAGTTCAAGTGAATTTCCAAACACTTGGTGAGGCTCTTCCTAAAGTCAACAGGAAGTGCCCTCTTTTTAAGGGCTTTATAAAGTACAATAGAGTGTAAATTCAACAGGACGCAATCTATTGTATGGCTTGTTTTCCAAGAAAGATTGTTTGTTATAAGACGTGTAATAAATAAATTGGTGAATTCAATAACTGGTGCATCAACGGTTTTATAAAGTGCAATAAAGTTTAAAGTCTGAAAAAAGTGCCCTTTCTTTTAGTGCAATAACGTCTGAAGACGTAAGCAATTAGCAATCAGAAGAGCAATTACGCCTTTCAGACTTTATTGCACTTTATAACGCTTGCAGTAGTTAGGTGCACAAAACTTGATGAGGAACAATTAGCTATCCATACTTTTTAACTTATCTGTTTAAAATGTGAAATGTCATGCTGTATTCAATCAAAAGAATAGCCAAATGTTTTATCATTTATCTTATCTGGGTTTTTTTTGGAACTCTCCTCGGAAGAAGAACAAAAATGATAGTGATACTTCCTTTAAAGTAAATCCTAATTTTTGGAATTATTGAAATATCTTTCAGAAATAAATAATTTAATGTTTTTTTTTCTAAATTTTTTTGTATCATTACCATCATTTAAAGTAAATCTTCACTAGATATAACAAATGAATTCGCCTGCTTAAGGTTCTAATTGTAATGCTAAATTTTTTTGTTTAGTTTTGAAATGGCAATACTTCTAATTGTTAGGGCTTTTAAAATAAATATAGTTTGCCTACTTTTCTAAGATAATAAAATAACATTTAAATGTCAACCAAAGTTTGTACATATAATTGTGATTTTTAAAATACGAATTTTTAATATTTAAATATTAATAAATTTAACTGACAGATCCCGTTAAATATGTTTTATTTTGGGGTGCTTACCATTCCGTTCGTTGCGCACCATCCCGATGGTTCCGCCCGTGTAGATGACCTTCACCCGGGCCTCCTTCACATCCTGGGCCATCAGCTTCCCGTCACTCTTGTTCCGCCGGATCGTGGGACTCGGGAGGGTGGGTGGCGCCGGGGGCATGCTCCCGTCCAGGGAGGTTTCATTCAGCTTGGGGAGATCCATTCCGTTCGCGGTCATGTCTGACTTTATAATAACAAACTTAAAAAGCAGAGCACCGCCTTATCACTAGTTTGCTTCGTTTTGTGGGCGGGGCGTTAACAGATAATCCATTAACAGCCCGAGGTGCCGGTAGAATTTGTTAACGGTTTATTCCGGATATCCAGAGCCCGTGATATCTATCGTATAATTCGCGGGGGGCCCCGAAGAGCACGTGCTTGCAGAGTTCTTGTTCCTTTCGAATAGGAAATTGAAACGTAAGATTCTAAATCACAGACGCGCAATCACTTATTCATAAAGATAAGAAAAGCAACTGCAGACTTTTGACCACTAATCTAATGAAATTCAAATGACATTCCGCTGATAGCAATATTTTGACCATAAATAAACATCATCAGCTGTTTGACTATCGATATACATATATGTACGTGTTTGTTCGCGTTTCTTCTCAAATTTCACCGTTTTTGTCAATGAAATTGGGAAGAACCTCTAATGTTATTTCACTTGTTTGTTTAACGAAAAATATAAACATTTTTTTGCCCATTTTCAATTTTCTATTTTTGGACTCATTACCCGTTTTTTCCATTGATTTGTTTACAAATTTGTAATGTTTTTCTATTGATGCGGTAACACTGTCTCTGGTGCTGCCAGATCAATAAATATTTAAAACTAGCTTTAAATAGAAGATACAATCTGCGAAATAAATAATTAACTGGTATTTAAGTACACTAAGAGCTGTTAAATGCATTCTCAAGACCTGATTTAAGAAGTCGAGGGAATGTTCCTGAATGAAAACGTCTAGTAAAATTTATCTCGAATATTTTTCTTTTTTAATTAAGAGCTCAATAAGCAAAATAAACCTTATACATATTTTAAACAAATTTTAAAGTCTAACTTAAATGTATGTCTTATGAAAAAATGGTTTATTTGATTTTTTTCTTATTGGCTATTTTAGGTGGTGTAAAATAGCTAAAAACTATGTCTAAATTTCTGAAATTCAGCAGTCTAGCAACTCTGAAAAAGCTTTCCCAAGTCCGGCAGCTCCCAGGCCCCGTTATGTTAGCGGTAAAAATGCGAAAATCCAACAAAGAAGGAAACTTTTGGTTAGTTTTTTCTCTTGGAGTAAAAAGAGTGTCTTGTAATTAAATAATATAAAGAATTCACATGGATAATGCCTCGGTGTGCTAAAGTTCATTGTGGGCGTGACTGGCGGGCACATGAGGCTGTAATTCCCTCCAAAAATCGGCACGCTGCTGCATTAATTCATTTTCTAAGCGAAAAATGTTTGAGGAATCCTCGATTTTGGTGCCCAAACGGGCGTATTCCACAGGATAACTGGATGCAGGATTCCAAGTGGGCAAGTGAAAGCTGGCATTCGTCGGATTTGGATTGCTGTAAGAGATTAAAACCATTACTTTCCGTTTGTATAATTTTGAAGGTACACCTACCCGGTTTTCGCAAAGCTAACCCACAAATGGAGCATCAATTCGCGGAGTTGCAGATCTTTTTGCGTCGGCACTGCACTCACAAATAGCTCCCGCCCAATGGGGAATAAATACTGGAGCTCCTCGGCATGACATGCCCCGTAAAACTCATTCCGGCCGCCCTTGAAAATCTCCGTAAAACTGGCGGCACCCTTGTGATCGAAAAGGTAGACGTATGTGGGTGCCACGCCCCCTTGGGACATCCTGAGGCGCAAGTACTCATCGATTCCGGCCACAAACCATCCATCCGAAATCAGCTAGAAAGGGTAAGAATTAGAGGAAAACATAAAAACTAAATAAATAGGTAAGGATAACAAATTATAAACAAATAAAACTATCAAAAATATTTAAATCCCAGATTAACTTTTAAACTTATTAATTTTCTTTCAGATAAACGGACTATTTTACTGTTCATAATGCTTTTAGATTTGGAATCCCCCCACTTACATCGGTCAAATTTTGGTGGTTGGCCTTATCGTAGTCATGGCCCGCCTTAAAGTAGAAGCTCTCGATGCGCTGCGTTATCCTTTGCTGAACAGAATCCTCGTGGTGATCGTAGTTCAGGACGACCGGCAGAACCTGGCTAAACTGGGACTTGAATTCGGCCATCAGTTGGGGAAGATTGAGCAGGGCGGCGGTCTTCAAAAGTCCCTCTTCGGCGGTGGCGCCCACAAGGAGAGGCAATTCCAATCCATGAGGTTTCAGCGCCTTGCGCGGTGGAACTGTAAGGAAGGCGTTCTCGTGCTCCGGTTCGATCACCGGCGGAAAAGGTATCATCGGATCAAAGTCCCAGACCTTAAAAAAACAGAAGCCAGAGGTTAGATATGGTTTTCCCTTCACCTAATTTGTTTAACAATTGCATTGTACTTCTTATTGGTCAACTTTTGGCACACAATTTACCAAGGTGAAGCATAGCGAAGGCACACATTTGTTTTTTTTTGGTTAACTATAACAAAAGTATTTTTAATTGTGGTGGTTTTTTATAAGGCTTGCTCTCATTTAAGTTTTTAAAGTGGAAAATAGTTTGTAAAGTGACATCTTGTTTTTATAGCTTGCAAATTCGAAGCAAATCAGTAAAGTAACAAGAAAGTCTATGCGACCTCCTATTAAAAAATCTCTATAAGTTTTTATAATTTATAACCTAGTTGTAAAAATTTTAAAGGCACACAATCTAATTTAGATTATCTGAAATAAATAGTTTACTTTTAAGGTATTGCTTCTTAATTTTGTATGATCCTTCTCTGATCTTTATAATCTTAATTTTTAAAGTCTAACAATAGATTGGAAATAATAAGGATAAAAAAAACTTACAAACATGTCGTATAAGGAGGCCACGATGTCGTCGGCTGGCTTATTCCGCAGGCACTCAAGTTTTTCGGGCCACTCTCCTGCGGAGTCGCAACCTACAAGCTTAGCCAATTTAGTGGCCCTTCTGGCAGCCACTCCTTTATGAGCGGGCTGAGCCCAAGGATTGAAATAGGTTCCGGATTGGGCGATACCACGATGCAGTAAACCGCGCGATTTCTCTGACAGCATGTGATAGGTGACACTGGCGCCTCCAGCGCTCTCGCCAAAGACCGTCACACTATTTGGATCTCCGTCAAAGGATCCAATATTCGCACGTACCCAGCGCAATACCTCCAGTTGATCCTTCAATCCATTGTTACCGGGACAATCGACCGTCTCCGTGCTGAGGAAACCCAGCGGACCCAATCGAAAGTTGGCCGAAACCAAGACGACGTCGTGATCCAGCAGAAAATCCGGACCGTAGAAGCTGCTGATTCCGGAGCCACATTGCCAGCCGCCGCCATGGAACCACACCATGACGGGCAAGGAACCATTAACCTTCGGCGTCTCCGGGGTGTAAACATTCAGATACAGACAGTCCTCGGATCCCTCTATGATCATGTCGCGGCGGAAGGGATCGCGCTGCAGGCAGATGGGTGCATCCTTGACGGCCAAGCGTTCGCCCTCCCAGGCGGCCATCGGCACCGGTGGACGGAAACGAAGACCCCCGACTGGTGGCTCCGCATACGGAACCCCCATAAATGCCCGCATGTGCCGACCACTGTGGGTGGTCAAGTGGCGTCCAATCAACCAACCGCCGTGGGATAAACGCACGTGCAAACACTGCGAGTTCCGCCCATGGCACCACTGGACGTAAATGCAGAGCAACAGAATCACCCAAATCAACCGGAGGCCAGCGTTTCTGGTCATCGTATGCGCGCTTGAGGTCCGACTTCAGACTGATTTCGCGGCTGCACGGAACGTGTAGTTTTAAGATTACAACATCATCAGTCTCTGCTGGAGAGTCTACGAACTTGTTTACCGAATTTTTTTAGCCGCCCGTCTCTTAGCTCATTAATTCTGCTTATTTTTCATACCCTCAACGGAGTATTTTAAATATGGTAAGCTGTTCAAAAGCTCTATGAACGATCTTACCTGTTGTCGGGCTTAATATCTATTTTTTGTAAGTAAAGCTAGGCATTTTTTAAAAGTCAATTTTATATTCTGACAAATTTTGCTTAAAGATTTATTCTGTAGAACTTGAAACCAAATTATTCTCTTGCAAATTTAATGTTTAACGAATATTCTTTTTTATTTAAGGAAGTGTATGTAATTGCCAATGTGCACACATCGATAAATGTTGTCCACTTAGCGTCGTAATCAGCAGCAAAATCACCATCAGCACAACATCAAGCATCGACATCAATTTCAGATGTTTAAGTTTCGTTTTGGAACACTGCGCAAATTTGGTCAAATCAAGCCGAAAACCGTGGTTTGAAATGTGTTAACGGAATTTTTTTTATTAATTTTGATTTTATTTCTAGATGGATTTAAATGCGACATCCTTTGAAATATGATAGAATGCAGACAACTAATCTTCACGGATATCACATATTATGGAAAGGGTAAGTGACTATTTTTTTATATACGCTTTGTAAATTCCGAATTCATGATTTAGATTTTATAGAAAAATTTACCTTTTGGTTCAAAACATTTATGTCAAATATTTTTTTGCTGGTGTGATTATATTGAAAGAATTTTTATTATTGTTGGGGTAATTTATTGTTCAATATTTTTTTAATTCTCCGAACACACTGTTTGCGTTTTAATGGTTTAATTTGGCCAACGTTGGTCTGTCAATGACAAGGCATATTAAGTCGAGAATTCGAGACCGATACTACAACTATAATATATTACCTGCCATTTTTGAGCAGATGCAGACAGCATTCCCCCCGTTTGAAATGGTGTTATAACGATCGTATCATTGGCCTTGGATCGCTTGTATCGGCATAGAAAATCAACAAAATATGTAAACACTAAGAAAAAGCTAGGATAATTTGGACAAAATCAAAAATAATTAGAAAAGTTCTCACTATAAAATTTTGAGTTGATTTTTTGTTTTAATATTATCAATATATAATCCTTAAAAGTAGTTTTTTAATGATATTTCTGTGCTGAAAAAACCCAAAGAAAGGGAGCATCATCGATTAAGTAATATGCTAATTTAAAATTTTACGAATTCATCTGAGCATAATCATGAGCATGAGAAATATTTTCAGAGGGTCGAGCCCACAAAACAAAATAAAAACCAAAACAAAACCGAAAACTTGAAAGTTGTTAAAACAGAATAAAAATGCGAGATGAAATGCGATGTGAGATGAAGAAGCACTCTTAAAAAATGCCTTTGCATGCCGTAAAAATGCCGTCGAGCTAATAGGTCCCTTTGAAGTTAGCAAAAGAGAGCTGCCGATGAGCCAAGCCAAACAAAAAGTACAGAATTGGGGAATTTCTAATAGAGCTGGATGGCTCACAACTTTCCATGCGGGGAGAAGGCCCTTTTTTTAATTCATAACCTGACTTGAAGCTACCTTTTTTGGAACTATATGCGACACAGACAGGATATGCACCACCCCGAAACCACCTTTTTTTCCATCCTGATAAATGTCCAGGCCAAACACACAGATTTATTTAGCTGCAAACAATTTTAATCCACTTGAGTGCCAATTTATCAGCCGGCGAACAAACAAACAACTTCTGATGTCCAAACCAAATTGATATGTAACTATATATCTATATATCTGGTTGAATATGGGAGAAGGGCCATGGTGACTCAAGGACTTAATTCATTTCCCTCATCACAAAGAAATATAAATATAAAAAGCTAGTGCTCTTTGACCAATTATAAAACTGGTAGCTGACCGGTTCGTCTGGCTAGGGTTTCCTTAAAAAAATACCTTCAACCGGTTTATAATAAGCTCCATTCTGAGCTTATATGAATATATAAAAACATTAATATTTGCGGTTAATTAGGAAATGTGTTTGTTGTAGAAGATAGTGTAGATAAGTGTACTTATACACAATATTTTATCAGAAAATTACTTCTTATTAATAGCTGTTTTTTTTTTTACCTTCTTAATTTTCTTTGACTCAGTTTACTGAGCTTAATTCATTCTCGCCTAAACCATCTATTCACTTGACCTAGAACCGGTTTTCACAATTTTACCCCAAAAACGTCCATGATTTCAAGGCATTTTCGTTTATATTAAAACATATTTTGAAATTAAATTTGTTGAATTTGAAGTAAACAAAACGGGGAAAACTCCTGGGGTTGACAAGAAACCCTTTTTGCAGCGAAGGTGTAAAGGGGATTTTGCTGCCCAACAGCGAAATGGAAAATGATTTATTGAAGGTGAAATATTTATTGTTGTTTTCTTTTTTTTTCGCTCCAATTTTTTTGTGTACGATTGTTTTGCTGTTGTGTTTCGGTTTTGTTTCCACAGTAAACAATGGCTATGCGGCATCTTTTGAATTCTTTCCACCGCCTTCGATATAAAAAAAGTGAAATAATTATTAACAAAAACAAGCGGCAAACATGGAACAACAGATGCGAACCCTCATCCCTTCCTTAAATATTTATTTATTCTGCGTTTTGGGTCAATTCCTCTGGTTTCATTTAATTAAAAAGAAAAGCCAACTCGCGAGGCATAATATCATAAAAAAGGAGGAAAAAGGGAATATAAATATCCAGTCACATGCATGGATATCTGGGTGTCCTTTTTGCCTGCCGCCCGGCTCGGCTTGTCCTTGTATTTACTTAGGATCAGGTGGTGAGCCCCCATAGCATCACCGATTTTTACCAACAATGCCAAGAAGCCGCCGCGGCAGGCGAAGCCAAAATTTCAATTTCGCGGTTGCTGCATATTTTCCCAGCCTTTATTTTCTCCACTTTGCTTTTGACTTTTCCAACAAGGGACAAGCCACTTTCGGCAATGGAATTTAAACGAATTTTTAAACAGGCCAAGTTCCCACTCTCCCCCGATTTTCCCTGCCCATCATTTTAACTTTAAAGCCTCCGAACAAAAAAAGAAAGCCGAACAGAGAGCTTAAGCGATAATTGGCCACTAGGAAATGTCGATGATGTTGAATCGGGAAATGCAAATTGCCAATGTCCGGAACGGGCTTAGCCGCCTAAGTCCAATAACCAAAAAAAAAAAACTTTGACTGTGGGCTTAGGTCCTGGCGACCTGACATTGATCAGTTTAAGCGTTCCAAGTCGGAGGCAACAAATTGATATGCAGCAGATGTTGCCAGGTTTACATCCATAATAGTAATAATAATCAGAGGTCAGGCAAAGTTTGTGGTGGGTTAAGAAGACTTTTGGATACGCTTACCACCGGAAACGAGTAATTCCATGGGAATAATTGGGAATATTTCAATAGTGCCAAATGTTTACAAAACAGTTTTGAAATCACTGACAAATGGGTTGAATTCAACCAGGATAGTTTTTAGGGTTTCAAATACAAACAGAAAGGTGTTGAAAATATTTAATGATACAATATTTATGGCAAAAATGTAGCAAATCTCTCTAGGGTTCGGAATATTATCCAATAGATATCTTACATTGAGGTGTACAATATAATTTCTGAATTCATTTGACCCTTTCGATGGGAAGTGTATATTAAGGAAAATATCAAAATAAAGAGCAGCTCTGGATTCGGAGTCAGATTCAGATGTGGATGTGGATGTCGAAGCCTGTCAGAGGGATTAGCTCGCCTGATTGGACACGATGTGATTAACTTGTCGTCAACGCGGTGACTCTGAATCTGAATCCGACTTTGGATTTCCCGCTGACTGTGACGTCGACACGTTCCACGCAGCTTCACTAGCGAACCCACCCATTTCGGTGGGTCGCACCACTCACCACCCAGCACCCAGCACCCACCACCCACTAAGCCACCACCCAAGCCTCCTCCTGTCCCTGCTAAACAAAAGTGCAAACATTGACAGACGGCTAACGAGAGGGATGGGTGGGTGTCGTCGCAAAAAGAGTGGGTGTTGCGGAATTGCCAGGCCAAAATTAACCCATTACGCACTCCATTAACGCAGTTTGCCTATGCATGTGGGCCCCGGCTAATTAGTTGTGGCAGCTGATGCTCCACACTCCCGATATCCTGATACTCCGGCACATGTGTAGTTAATACAATTACCAACGTCAGACAGGCGAAATGCCAGTCGCAAATCTAGTTATTCAGCTTGGTTTAGAACAAATCGAATGCATCTCGCAATGGCAGAAGAGTCTATTTAATTCTATATAGTAAAATGAATATGTGGAACAACAAAGCCGTTTGTTTTTAACTTAAAAAACGCACCACTTAAATAAAACAACAGTTTTTATATTTTTCATATTTATTATGAATGAGATACAACTTATGCTTGTTATCGTAAAGGTAATATAATGTTAAGTTATTAGCAATTTCTTTATTTTATGCTTGTACATTTTTGATACTTTTCAATATTAGGTATATTTCGGTATGAATCCTTATTAATTTAAATGAGCAATTCTCTGGGACAAACAATAAAAGCCAACATGTATTGTTGCTTTTGTGGGCGATGGTTGTTCTTTTTTTAATGTGCCTGCTATTTCTTTGCCAGGGGGCCCAACCTTTTTATATATTTTTTTCATTTGTTTCGCTGTGCTCTTTTCAGATTCTTTCATTTCGAGTCAAGTGCATTCTCAAGTCGTTCTCTCGATTGCCGGCTGCGGATTACGCGCCAGTGCATCCGAATGCCTGGCATTTTGCATTGCCAACAATCACAACAATTGGCCAACAACCATATTGTTGGCCATGTGGCATGGGGAATGGGGATTGCGGATTGCGGTCTGGGATGATCCGCCCTGTTGGCTGCCCAACAAGCCGCTAACAATCAAGTGCACAATTGCCATAAGGCCGAAGAAGTGGGGGCTCTACGCAGTCCAGGAGACTGGGAATCCCATTAAATTGTGGTTTATGAGCGGCAATTTGGTTTGATTTACCATCAAATATGCCTTGGCATGTTACGGGGGCAAAATATTTGATTATGCTTTAATTGATTGATGTTAATGAGAATGAGAGGAACTATTAATGGGCGTAATATAGTCATTTATAAATACATTTTTAATACACCTTTAAATTACTAATCATACA